ACACGGCAGTGCAGCTTGATGCTGCGGGGACTCTAGAGGACCCCAACCAGGCACAGGGAGCGATACGTGATGTCACTTCCTCGTCATCCGAACTCGTCTCGCTCAGTTCGAAATCCGCAGTATCCACTGTCCCGTTTATCCCTCCTCCCCCTCCCCTACGCGGATCCTCCAAATCGTAGACTTCGTACTTTGACCTGCCCCTGAACCGGGACAAAGAAGTGAGGTTGGGTGGGGGCGTGAGTGCTGCGGAGCCCCTAAGGTCGTCTGGGAGGAATAGATAGAAGAAGGCAGTGGCGAGGCACACACCGCCTACGACGTCGATAAGGTAGTGATGTGATAGGTACATCTTAGCCCAATACAACATGCCTGTGTAAGCCCCCATGTATTTTGTGGTGGCCGGGAAAAAGTGGGATAAGCAGAGAGCTTCAATGGTTGCGCAGCCTGTGTGTAACGAGGGGAACGCGCTGAATGGGATGGGCGCGTTTGTGAATGTGACGGTGTATGTGTGGGAGTGGAAGAGGGCGTTGATGCGGGCTAGACCGCCTGGGGATCCTTTCATGGAGTAGTTTGCTGGAGTGAGGCCGTGGATGAGCTTGTACCATGGTGCAGAGCATGGGAGGAGGATTTGAATGATGAAGCCAAGTACCCGAATGCGCGGGCCCAGAAGTGGAGGGCTTGTTTGGTGCGGAAGAGGCATATGAAGGCGGTGACAATGAAGGGGATTGTGAAGTGGCCTACGCCGTAGAGGAGCCAGGTGATGATGTCTAGGGAGGGGTGGATGAAGCGGGCATCCTTAACCAAGATATTTGCACCATAGAGGACGGATTCGAGTGTAAGTAACAGGGAGATGAAGATGGCGGGGTGCCATGAGGCAGGAATGAACCGAGAAGTGTGAAAAGTGATGAGGTAGGCAAAGTCTTAGACAGTGTTGTACAGGTCAGCCTGACTCGAGGTCAGAGACGTCACGTCACCGGGGTCACATCAACTGACTTGACGAGGTCAAGGGTCATGATGGGGGGTCAGACCTTTTTTGGAAAGAGTATTGAGGCTCATGCCCATGTTTTTTTTTGTTGTTTTCTTGTTTTTTTTTGTTTTTTTTTACACTCATGTTTGAACGTTCTGCATACACAAGTTCTCACAGAACCCTTGACCGATCATGACCCCGTCAATCAAAGTCAGGTCACTTGATGCCGGGTCAGGGTCTGACCTCATCAGACCAGGTCACTACCCATACCTGTGCTTCACTACTGATCACTACTGAACAGAGTTTGAAAAGATCACATGGGCTTCCAATTTGGAATGCCGATGCGTGGCAAACCATGCCACGTGCTGCACATGACTTGAAACTGCAGCCTCGGGCTCTGCAGCTCGAATCTTCGTCTTTTCTTCTTGCCCCTTTGTTCAACGCGACCTCAGAAGATATATCTTGTATATATTGTGAGTTTAAATGTACTTCGACTGTATTTTTCAATTATCCAATGTCAACACTGCGTGTCTGCTTGTCTAGCATTGATAATCCTCGAAAATCTTACAATAGAATGATGGAGGAGCCCGAAAACACAGATACCATGAACTTGCA